ATTTGACGTAGGCGCCGGACATCTCGCTTGAGATGTTTTTCTTGTAAAGTAGCTTGTACCAGCTTGTATCTTGCTTGTTTGCTAGCTTGTACCGTGCTTGTTCTCTGCAATGGCTCTGTTTCCCTGGAAACGTATCTTCTTAGCTATGGCGTCGTCCTACTTCACCCGTTCTGTTGTGCGTCCTCCCGGGTTTTACCGTGCGCTCCACACCCGGAGCTCTCTGGATGCTGACAGCCTCGAAACCACTAGGGGGCTTGTTTGCTTGTCCGAACGAGAGACGGACCAGGAAGGCGTCTACGAAGTCGAGCGCCTGGTGCAGCGACGTACTGGCAAGGTATGAGCCTGGTCACAACTGCGGAAAATCCGGCAATCTATCTGTATCCGGCTGTTCACAACACAGGCAGGGGTCGAGTACCTTGTACTGTGGGCGGGGTACCGGAAAGAGGAGGCTTCATGGGCCAGGAAAGCGGACATAACACGCACAGCGCTTGAGTAAGGATAAAAATACACATCGCAGATTAATAAAAGTGATATTTATTATTATAGGTACTATGATAATCCAAGGCCTTGCATCCGTGACATTCTGGATAGTGCATCTAGTTTCACTGCCAGCATGAACAGAAGTTTGAAGATGGGTCTGAACAGGGCCTGTCGGATAACTGTCAACTTCAGAACAGATGTGTTCCGCTTCCTGTTCAGAGATAAAGGCACACCCTATGAACATGGACCAGGGTATCTGTATAACCTGGAGGATTTTGATGCCAGCTACTTCCCACACAACTGGCACAAGATACATGATCGTCTGGGTGATGGGTGCGAAGTGAAATTCCCTATACGTCTTCACAACAGACTGAAGTGGGATGCTACAGTACACATCAGGGACGAAACAACAGACTGTCTTGTCCAAAAGAAGAAGACATTTGACGAAGTTTGCACAATTTGGCTCGTTAAACAGCGCATTTAGACGTACATCTTCTGTTTGACCAACATCCTTCCTGTGTGTATTGATATTACAAAACTGAACATTTACTTACTATCATCTTTTTGTCCCTCTTCTCTGATCGTCGTTCTTGGAAAGGACGCGTGTACTTTGACCCAACCGCACGTGCCTATATTCTAAATAAAGCACTCTGAAGCACCGAGCTTGGCGTAGACTAGGCAAAAGAAAAGACACAGAGACAGGAATGATGCAGCTACTGAGTGAAAACCCCGCAATGGTATGTACTAGAAGTGTACCCCTTGTATACATGGTGGCTTTGAGAAAAGCCGGTTTGAAGAAAGAAAAAAAGAGGAGCTAGGTGTTGGTGGATACTGCACTGGTGGATACTGCACTCCTGGCCCGTTTCTCTGTTCGTTGTGTTACGATTCCCTCGCTCCAGTACTGTAGGTCTCGCTTGCAGTACGGTCTCTTCTCTCTCCGGCAGGATCTGTCCAACTGCTCCAGCCGCTTCTCAGTGCGTAGGACTTCACCGCAGGGATCGTGCCTGTTGCTGGAGTAGAAGTGGTGTTTGGCTGTGTCATTGTTCTTCTCAACACCTATGATGGTGAGGTAGAACAGTTACAGCCAACTCTCACAATATTTCATTTACCCTGTCCTGAAAACTTCAACAGGTTGCCATGTTGCCGGAGTTGTGAGGGAACGTGGTACACCATACAATGGATGTATGGTGTCACGAACTTCTTCTGGAATCCTTCCAGCCTCTCTTCATGTCCAAGCTTCAGGAATTCCTCCAACCATAGTTTTCCCTAGCAAAATACGATGTAAGTATATATTGTATGTACGTTATATTTTACTACCTTGGTGTGTATCTCGTCAGGAGAGGGAGCCTCTGAACAGATGTGTTTGTACAGGGCCAGAAAGTTCTGCATGTTAATGTGTTCGTGGCATGGTAACAATGTAACATGTAGCTATATACCTTGAGGAGAGCACCAATCTTTGCTGCAGTGTTTGCTGGAAAGATGGAGTGTAGCTTGGTTGGGAGCAGCTCTAGTACCATCAGGTTCTGGGCTCGATTTAGAGAAGTCCACTCGTACATGCCAGTAACTCCCTTCCCATTCTCGTTCCGCACCTACATAGGTTATAGGTACAGTGTTTGTACAGTCAAAAATTGTTTTGGTTGTACTTGAGAGATTCTGAATGGTACCCCACAGGACTGAACCAGTTGTTGCAGCTCTGGGATGTGTGTGCCTCTCCTTCCCCTCCGTAGTCCACTCTCCTGGTCCAGGTGATCAGCGAGGTGAATGATGTTTCTCACCAGCACATCAGAGACTCTCAGGAGTAAGTGTAGCTCATCAAGGACATACTGGGAGGGCTGTAGATGGAGTAGTGGAGAGTGTTTACTGCCGAGATGTTTTTCAGGCTTGGAGAAGGCACAGTTTGTTGTGAGGGAGGACAGAGTTCGCAGAGTTCCATTGGGAGGAGGTGTGTTGTACACAGCCTCTGGTACACTTGTATCCCACCTGTGGAACCAAAAATTGTAAACTGTATGTTCCATAATTCAAGTATAACCTTTTATCCTTTGCCACTGTGCACCACACACATGCGTATGTGGCGTTGGCTTTGTTCAGCCCCATCACAAGTGCAAGGAACTAAGAGAAATAGAGTGAACAGTAGGGTTAAAGTTAGTAATCAGAAGTCAAACCTACCTTATAGTCTGAACCAAACACAATGTCCAGCTCTACCTCACTCCCATTGACAGACAGCTTTGGGTTGCTTATCAGCTCATTGAGCTCTTCCCAGACAGGCTCAAAACATGCCTTCAGGAATTCATACTCCTCTGCCCCTCTCACTGAAGCGAAGGTGTGGTTCCCTGCATGGTGTGTATGAATTCTTATCATAATATGTGGTGTGTTTTAAACCTGCAGCTGACAGAACATTGTTGGCGAGTCCTGGAAATGAAAATGTCAGGAAAACCATGGTGGCTGATGCAGCTATTACAGCACCATCCCCTGAGAATTTGATGGTCACTCTAGATGGCTGTGCTCCTGATGTCGCAAGCTGAAGTAGTGGTTTTCATTTTATGACAACGTTTAGTTTAAATACTTACAGTGTCCCCAAGGGTCTTTGTTACTGTGTTTCTTA